GCTGTTCCTGTGTGTGCTAGAATTCTGTGTTGGAAAACAGAGATCTTGTCTTAGAAATGCAGCTTCAGTGCAAGATACAATATAGATTTAAATGACGTGTACTCTGTAAGAAATTTAACATAAAGGTTATTGCATGAACTTTGTGTCAGTCATAGCTATAGACAATTTTCATTTGTTTTATACTAGTTTTTCTTATATTACTAAAGAGTATAGGCTTGATCTTGTTTTTATTACTTTTTTATTCAAGCAGACAAATCTATTGCTCGTAAAGTCTGAAAAACTGAGATGGGAACTACTTCCTCCCTCCTGAGCTCCACGAACATCATTATAAAGGGCATCATATTTTTTTAATATATATATAACCTTTTCTGTATGCAGTACCACTTCTTCCACTTCAGGTAGTGCCACCACAGTTTATTAAAGCAGAACTCTAGGGGAATATTTGAGAAATGCAGAAGTTGCATCTAAGGAGAGACCGCAGGATTGTGCCCTTGTGGGGGGCATGGGAGCTTGGAAGGAACTCTGCAAAGTGGCAGGAATAAAAACCCTGGAATCTCTGTCCTGCTTCCCAAGGCAGCCCTGCAAGGAAGTTTGGTTTCTGTTCATTGCCCTGCCGGCTGCATGAACCTTTCCTCCCTCTGTGCAGGTTGCTCAGCCTCAGTGGGAGGAACGAAGATGAGGAGGTGGGGGCTGGACCCAAGCAGGCTGGAGAATGCGGTTCTGAGGCAGGCTTAACCCCTTGCATGCTCACAGGAGAAGGGGAGAATCCTTCCTCCCTCCCAATGCCGTCTGTAAGGGAATTATGACAGGCATGTTCTGGGGAAAGAGCGCGAGCCCTGGGTCCCCGTGGGACCAGCCCTTTGAGAGCGGTGGTGCCTTCACGTGCCTGAACCTTGCAGGTGAGGTTGGGCAAGCCACACACCTGGCTGCTAATGCCACGGTGGATTTAGACCTGCTGTTGGAATGGTAGGTTCAAAACAGAGATAGAGAGTGACTTTAGGACTAAATCATACTGGAAAACTGATGTTCAAAGTGACACTGTCAGGCCCAGGTGCAATTTATCTTGCCTAATGTCACTTGCCTACAATCAGTCAACTGAAATCCATCTTAATTTGTCCTTCCTGGGTTTTAAAAACAGTCTTTTCTCTGACCTAAAGCTCACTTAATGAGCAGCCACTCATAGCTCTTCTCTCTAATCATTTTTTCCCTCTTTTTAATAAATAACCTTGGTTTCTTCTCAGACACTCCATAAAGTTTTCATATTTTTTAATTCTATTTTACAGTACACAGAAGGGTTGGCATTCAGTGACCCTGAATAGATAAACAGGCGATTTGCTGTTATTTATTTCCAAAAGCAATGGAATTTAAATTCCTTATCATCGCCTTTCTAAAGGTTCTTTATAGCACATTTATAGTTTCAGAAGATAGTCCTGTTTTTTCCTCTTTTACTGTAATTCATATTTCTTTGACCTGAAGTTGCATTCGACAAAAAATGAGATACTTTCTTAAAACTGCAGAATCAAAGAGAGTAAGTCCATAGAGGATATTTATCTTAAAAAATGTATATAAAAAGATAAATAACTCCTCTACCATTCATTTGTTTGAGGGGAACTCCTGCTGTACACCCACACAATCCTGGAGTCTCTGCATAGGATTGTTTCGGTGTTTTCATCAGAAGATAGATGCAATTAGGCTGTTTCCCGTATAGGAATCATTTCAGTAGCATCAAAGATAAAAATGTGGCCATAAAGGAAGTGTAATTCCTCTGGAATAGAAGTTTCACTTGATTTCTTTCTACGTAGGTAACAGAGAAGTTGAAGTCTTTATAGAGTAAACACAGCACCACATGCAGGAAGAGTCTCCGAGTCTGCCTTACTGCCTGGCACTGCCTGCCTCACGCTTCCCAGAAAGTTGCATTCCAGCAATTCCCAGCAATTTGGGGCAATACCTGGTTGAGGAAAGCGATCTGTAATCCCTGTTGTATTATGACTTTTTATACTACTTTGATATAAGAAAACAGATTTGGATTTGTCAGCATATCCTTGTTTGAGAATGCATTTCTCCTTCCACTTTGCCTTCCCTTTCCTTTCTCCAACACCAACTGCATGGAAAAGTAGAAAGAAGTGCAGTCAGAACAGCCTGATGATTCTATTCTTTTCATAATAGCTCATACATTTGTTACAAATTTAATGTGAAATTGAGCAGATTTGGGGGTGTAAGTGCCTCAGGGCCAGAATCAGGTGAGGGAAGATAGCAGGTTTCCAGCAGGTTTCCATATAGCTGACTCCACTATAAAGCAGCTGTAGTGGCTGGTGCCTCTTGAGCCAGTCCTGGCTCTTGTGCATCTCCTCAAGGCCCTCTCTTTGCCTGGGGAACCCAAGTCCTGGGACCGAGATGTGCCCTCGAGGTGGGTCCTGGGGAACCCACGTCCTGGAATGCCGCTGTTATCAGCCAGGAAGCTCTGTGTCATCTGCTGGCAAAAGTACCTCCATCTGTCAGTCCTCAGGCCCCAGTGTATTAAGGCTGTCATTAATACAGCTTCTTCAGAAATTCTGGAGGTCTTAATTTCTTTGTTGGTAAAATGCCTCTGTGCATTGAACAGGCATGTTTAAGTGTGCTGGCATGTTTGGTGAGTGGGCGACCTGTTTGTCAGTGATAAGCAGCAAACCTTTTCTTGTGAGTGGGTGCCTTCCTCACTGTCACAGACTTAAGTTGTGCTCATAATTAAAAAAAAAAAGTCCTTTTTAGAAGTTAGATGGTTTAAACTGACCAATACCTTAAACCAAGTTAGATGGTATAGAGAAATCCATACCGTGGACTCCATGTTACCTCCTTTGCATTCAGAGATGCCCAGTGTTCTCAGTGTTTTCAGATACTGCTGGAAAGGTCTTTACATTTTTAATCAGTAAAGGAAAGCATTCTTGTTCAAGAAAGAAAATTAAGTAAAAGCTTTGTTCTAACTATGTAGTGAAAAGTAAGCATATAATGCAACCTAATAAAATTAAATAGATGCTAAAATTTTTGTGTGAGTCATGGGACATCTTGCTACAAAGTATTTCCTAATTCAGTTATGTCTCAAGTATTAATAGAGCCTGAAAGCTAATCTGTATGAGGGCTTAATGAACATTGACCTACAATTTACAGGGTGCTCCTGCACAGTGGGCACTCCATACACGCAATTTCTGTAAGACAATTTGCTCCTCCTCTGTATTGATAACCTTCCTCCTTCACAATAATTTCCCTTTGTAGATGAATATTTAATTTTGTCACTGAGTACTACTTCCTTGATCTTCCAAAAGACATCCGTCGCCTCAAATGCTGAGTTGTAATGGGAAAAGGTAGATTTCCTGGCTATAGTGATTGGATGAATTGAGGTCATTGTGCCAGAAACATTTCAGGTTTTTGTAAAAGTATCAGAAGCAAAGCACTTCTTAGACCAGAAAAGAATAATTGAAACCATGTTTGCAGAAGAAAAAATGGAAAAAAAAACACCTACAGGTATGTAGGGTGTCGAGCAGCAAAGTGTTCAATTAGGCTGTTAACTGGTAATAACTTTACACAGAGATATACTTAAAAGCTGGTGAACCTGCTATTTGGGGGTCCTTGTTAAATAACTCACTGATTATGATACTGGGGCTCCAGAAGTTTTGGCTCACATCTATGTGAAAGCATACTTAAGAGAAAAAAATATTTTATCATTGAATATAGTGTTTTAATACCGAGAAAACTACCTTTTCTTTACATTATTTTGTCACAGCTGCTTGAAAGATATAGTCAAAAGGAGCAGAAGTGTTCAGTATGAAAAAAAAAGTAGTAAAACAGGCACTATCTTTTTTTACTTGTATCTGCTGTTCTGCTCACTGATAAATGTCTGATCTCAATCTCTGAAATCACTGCAACTTTTGTTGCTAAATATTCAGAATTCAGGGGCAGGCTTCTTAGCAGTTTCCCTTGCTATCGTGAGGTGGATTTATTGCTGTGGTTGGTGAGGAGGGCAGGAGCCCTCCCAGTTAATAGCACTGTCCAGTTCTGGAGAAGAAGCTGCTTGCTTACAACCAGCAATGTACTTGCCTGCTGCTGCCTCGTGCCCAAGCAGCCTGTCTCCCGACAGGACGTTCTTGTTGCTGATGAGATAGACCACTGAAATTGTACATCTTCATTTTAGATATTATGAACATGTCATGAAAAACATCTGCTTTGACTTGTCGTTTGAATAGAACTGATGGAGAAATCAATCACTGGTGGAGACCCCCAGCATGCAGGGTTTTTATACTATCCGTTTGTATTCGACTATTTATTCTGAACAACAATGCCAACTTTCAGAGCTGAAAATCTTTTAAAATAAAAAGCCTATGTTGCTAATATTTTTGCCTAGAAGCAGAAAGACACCATTCCAGAATAAAGAAGCCAAATGGTCTCCTCTTCATTTTTGTCGTGTGTCACGTGGGAGATAATATGTGATGCAGAATGAATCCTAAAAATAAAACACAAGAGCATAAGACGTTTCTAAGAAAGTCTACTGACACAATTGGAAAAAAAAAAAATCTTTGAGCTGCCTTCTTCAAGGATATTTCATTTTATTTTTTCTAGTAGTTGCTCACCACTTGCATTTTTTTTCCAGTTTAATTTAATGAGTCAAATGCTGAACAGTGAAGACAATATCTTCTTCTTCTCTTCAACGTTAACCTTGTATAGATGGAAGAACATTTTTGGCTCTGTACAAAAATCATGAGTTTGGAGAAACTGAGGCAAAAATAAGTTTGAGAACCATGTCCCACTTTTTTATCATGCAAACCTGTTCTGCTGGCCACAAATTGAGGAGGCAGAGTTTATACTCTAATGAATACTCCTATCGTCCTCTGTCTTTAACTGAAAGTAGCAGAATACTGTCATTTCAGCTAGGAAAGTAAAATGTTCTTTCATGTAATTTTCTAATTGCCTAATAGTCCTCTAATTATTGGTTTCAACACCTTTGTACTTAGACACACTGTCTTTTCTAGGTAACGTTTCGGACAAGAATCTACCATTGTAATATTAACAGCCAAGGCGTCATCTGCCTGGACATTTTAAAAGACAACTGGAGTCCAGCATTAACCATTTCTAAAGTTCTCCTCTCCATCTGCTCCCTTCTCACAGACTGCAACCCGGGTAAGTGCCCTGCACAGTGATGAGGCTACCTGTAAGGTTATATATATATTTATATTCCTCGTCTGTCGGCTATTAGAAACTGACTGGTGCGCTGCTTTACTGCCACGAGAAATTCTAAATTATGAGAAATTCTAAAAAAAAACAGGAAAAAATGTGGGTTTTAAATTTCATTCCATTAAATGGATGCATTGTATAGAAAGAGAGCACAATTTTAGGAGTTCAAAGGTTTTTTTAGTACCTGAGGATAAAAATCTGTTAATTTAAGAAGTTAAATCAGTAGAAAACACCTTGTAGTAGGCATTAATTTGGATATTACAACAGGATATTAGTATCAAGAAATATTAATGAGTTAATAAATATTGAAAAGGAAAGGTTTCATTTAAATATGCTGATAATTTGGTCTCTGGAAAGAATATTAATAGTACTGACCATGATAGATGTCTAACACAGATTCTACAAATAATGAAAATTAATTTAAATGAAGTTTATTCAATATCTTGAACAACCAGTATGAGTATTCAAAGCAAGCTGTCATTCTTATTAACTAGCATAGCACTTAACCTCTTCCCTCAGCTCTTATAGATTTGTTTTCTATTACTGACCGCTAGATTTGTAATTTCCTCTTTCTCTTACCCTATTTATCAATGAATTATTCTGACTGTAGCCTTGGAAAACCGTAATATATTGAAATCATGAAAGAATTATTAAATCAGAATTAGGGGATCAGCTTACAGGTCTTGCTGTTGGTTTGGTTTGGTTATTCTACACCTTTCCTCTTTTTTTTTTTTAAGTTTGCTGTGTGTTTTAGTTTTTCTTTAGTTTTCTTTAGTTTTTTGAAGAAAAAGTTTTCTCCCCAACCAGATTGCTAAAAAACTGCATTTCAAAGGACAGAATGTGAGATTCTTATGTAATCAGTGACTAAATCCAAAGCTCTAATCGAGGACTAAACTATTGCAAAACTTAAACTAGGGTGGAAGGGGGCCAAAATGCAACTGTCATTTCTTTGTGTGTGTTGTTTATTACTACACATAGCATTAAAACCTCACCGTTCCAGCTAGGAGCTGGAGCTATGGAGGAGACCTAGCTTGCCATTACAGGGATGGTTATTGTGGATGTGTTGAATGCTCTCTACTTACTGTGCTAAAAGACTGATTTTCTGTAGCGTCTACCCATAAGAAGTTCCAACATTATGTTAGGCAGATTGTTGACAAAAACCTAAAGAAAAGAAATGAATATTTTCTCAGCTATCTTAGAGAACTGGTGAAAAACTACAGAAATACTGCTATAAATCTGGTAGTTTCCTAATTTGTTTCGAAACCTAGCAGGAAAGTGGTGTGAGGAGTCAGAAATTGGAAATACACACCTGCTCATTTGTGTTCACCTGTCCTTGAACAGACAGTTTGAAATTTGTCCAGTCTCAAATAGTGATTTGAAATTTAGAAGTTTACTACCTCTGCCTTCTCACTGTTCCCTAAACCTGTTATAAAGACTCTGTATGTCAGCACACTGAAAATGGTTACCCGCGAAGTATTATCAAGTGCAACAAGTAATCACACTAAAAATGGGAGGTAATTTTTCTCTTTTAGTCTCTCCAAGGCAATAACTGTAACCACTGTCGTGACTGCAACTAGAACTAAAAAGTTTTATGACATTTCATTGTCAGTGTAAGCACTCCCTTTAAATACATGGTAGTTGTGGATTTGGTTGCTGTTTCATGTTCAGATCTTGCTATGAATTTTGGAGGTATGCATGCGATTCCTTATTTTGTGTTGTGAGTGCCGCTCGTTTGAGGGGCTCATGGCAGGTAGATGCGAAGTACTGAGTTCTTTTTGCCTTCCATTTAGGTTGCTTGTTCTTCACTAGATACTTTCTTTAGTAAACTTTGAATTTCAGTGATGTCCAGTGTAAATTTAGGAGTTCTGATTTTTCAGTGTTTTGCATAACACCCTAGAGCCCCTTCTTTTGTGGTTTTGTTGCATGGCTTATCCCTTTTATTTCTGAAGAAATTTTATCATTACCAAATCATTGGATTAGATGTTCCATGATTGAACATGCTGCTTTAAGCTGACCACTCCTCACAGTGGGCAAAACGCTTAGGAATATCATGACACATGGTGGTGTACAGACACACACACTCCCATATAGGTACACATATATATATATATATCTCCACACACATGTAAAGACACACAGCCAGCCAGTAGCAATTTTTTAACCCCTCTGTTCTCAACTAATGAGGCTACCTCTTTTTAAGGGCACAAACCCACCAGGGGCTCAGTTTGACAAGCAACTTGGAGTTCTTTGTGCACCCTTCAGCAGGCACAGGCAGATCAGGTCGAACGGAGAGGTAACACGGAAGCCCCCACAACCATAAACATGTGGAATCGGGGAGTTTTCCACCCCTGGGCTCTCTGTAAGGGAAAAATAAAATCTAAAAATGATTGGTTACCCAGTAGTCTCGCATTTATGCAAATCTTCATTAGAACAACAAATGGCGCTGAGAATGGCAGCTAATTAACCCGCAGCCATCCGCGGTGATTAGGGGAGCGGGAGGCCAGCTGCAGCTCCGCTGGCGAGCGCCTTCCGAGCAGGCCGAGCGCATGGCCAGAGGTGTTTGCTCCTGCCGCGTCTGCCGAATCTGCACAAGCCGCGAGAGAGGCTCCTTCCTGCCTGCTCTGCATCCCCGCGCTTTGTTCCCTATCACTCGAGGCAGGAGCGAGTTTGTCCCTTTTTTAGAAAAAAAAATCAACCTACTACTGCAAGTCTTTGCTCGTAAGATGCCTCAGACCCTTCAGTCCTGATTATTATTAATTGTCTCTATTTTGCTTGGCAGCATCAGACAGTAAACTGCGTTAATGAATGTCTGAATTTTGTAACAGCTGGCTGACTTTTTCAGGAGGGGGAAGGGGCGATGGAGTGTTTGTGTGTGAGTGAACATGTGTGAATTATCTGTGAATGTAAGAGAGCCAACTGGAATGGCATCAGAGAGATGTAGGAGATGATGGGTTATGCTAGCAGTCAGGCTAGAGATTAGTATTTTTCTTTAAGGTGGTACTCTAGGGGCACTCCGCACAGCTCTTCCCACAAAGCAGGGCCCCAATCTTGTAAATATTTTGGCATGTGCCAGTAACCCCGTGAAATCTGATAGCTGCGTTCATCTGCATAAAGCTGAGTATGTGTTTGTAGGCAATGTGTACAAGTGCTGAGAACAAATTTACTTTTCAGTATTAGCTGTTAGGTCTTGCCTCCATGGGTAGCTATTCCAGATTAAATCCATGTGTGGACACTCACCTCTTTGAAAATGGATTAAGGTAAGGCAGGAAAAACTGTCTTACTCTGGAGTGAAAGTTAACTGTATATTAGGTATTCAAGAATAGCTCTGAGAGTGTAAATTCCCACACTACCTTAATCCAAAATAGCTTTGAAGAATAGATAGCCCTGCAAGTTTTGTATTTTTATAGAGATTGGAATGTGAAAGCAAAATAATTATTTTTATTTCTAGACAGCTAATGGGGGTCCGGGTTAAAACATTTACTGCTCTTGCTTGGTCATTCCCACCTCATTCCCACCAAGGGTTCTCAAATCCTGGCAAAACAAAAAACTCATTTGCAAATGTTGCAGAGAAGGTATAGTGAAACACCAACAAGATTGCACTGATGCTTATTCTCTGCATAGCCTCCTTTTTCACACATCCAAGATACGGACTTCGATGGCCTGGTTATCACGTGTGTCTTAACAATGTAATGTAGATTTGTGTCTGCTTAATAACACACAAGGAAGCTTTGATTAGGAAATCAGCACAAAACCTGTTAAATCTAGCTCGCACCAAGCTATTCTTCACATTGTTCGCAATTGTTTTTGCCTAGTTACCTACCATTTTTTCCATATACAAATCCTAAAATCAGGAATACTTTTTCCCCTTGATCACACTATTGGGGTTCTCTACCGAGAAGAGAGTCCACCGTGTAGGCCTTGCTCCTGCCCCACTGTCTGCATGACAGACTGTCCGTTTGGGAAGCTCCTTGATTCCACTTGGGTGCCCACGTGCAGGCCAGGATTGGTACAGCGGTGCAGGAGCTGGGATAAGAGGAGACATCCGGTTACTATAAGCAGCCAAAACAATTTTTTTTTTTCCACAAATGTGTCTGGTTATACTCAGCATTTTTCTGGCAGCTGTAGTAAAGGTAACTGCGGAGGAGCTCTTTGAGAACTTCATTTTCTGTGTTGTTTAGAAACGTATCCCAGATTTCTAGCCTAAACTGACTGATGGGGTTTTTATACCCATTGTTTTTAAGCAAATCTTATCCTATAGTTTAAATGACATTTTTTTCTTCCTTTTATTGATTTCTGATGCACTAATGAAGAACCATCCTGTTTCCTCTTGGTCTTTTCTTTGCTGCACACTAACCAGATTTATGTCTACAAATCCCTTTTTATGCTTTTGCTCATCCTTATAGGATGCCCCTCTTCTGCCCCAGCATCATGCTGAAGTCATCGCTCTTGAGCATGACTGATTTGTGTGGAGTTTATCAGTGCATGACGCACAGCTAGACAGACTAACCTGCTCATGATCACCATCATCTGGGATGAAATATTTACTGTTCCCAGTTGGGTGTTCCTGTCTCCATTTCAGCCCTGCCAAAGGTTATTTCTTTCTGAGCCCTGTCATTTTCACTGTTTGTCTGACTGTCTTCTAACCCAATTATGTGTTTAAAACTGGAAAAAAAAAGAGGAAAAAAAAAAGAAAGGAACATTAGCCTCTGGGAAAAGGAGTTAGCAAACAACTGACAGCAGTAACCACTTAACCTAGGTCAGCACTAACCAGGTGAGTTGATATGACTCTGCTCTTAAATACTTCAATGGTGCATTATAGATATGTAAGTGATGTAAAGCTGCTTATCTCTTTCATCCTTTTCACACCAGAAAGTGTGAAATTTTGTTCGATATTATATATTTTTTGTGTGTGTGATTGTAACTTACAATTGAAGCATATATGTCCT